CTCGGAGGAGACCATTATATGTCAAGTATAATACATGCATTAATGTGTTCCAGTATTGTTTCGTCACTAGACAATCACATAAGAATTGTTATTGTGTCATAATGTACAACAAATTCCACAGGAACTATCATGGAATTGAACCCTGGTCTTCGCGGTTAGAATACGACGAGTAACAGGTCCGCTTTTAATCCCATTATGAATATCATTTTGGTCTCTTACACTTTTTCGAGAGGATTTTTTTTCATAGAATTTAATAAGCTTTCTAGGAAACCCATGGAAACACCTAAAATCTTTCATCTACGTATACTAACTACAGCTTTGTAGTACTTATTTTGACCAAATAGAATATCTTGACTTTAATCAGGCTACATAAGAATAATATGAAATATAAAGACAAAGGAATGATAAAATGGAAGCCTGGTAGGTACGTTCAGTTGCTGTCAGCTGTGCGAGCTGCTGCTTAAAAAGTGACGTGGCCCTAATGATGTGCCTTATCCCCCGGAGACGTTCAGTCATAATCTTTCATGTCTCAGAAGATTTTTCTACCGCTTAATAATTCCCAAGAACTGGCTATGACTTCACGTGAAGAAGAGAAGTTTTAACTTCTTCCTTGTAGTAATGTTTGCATTCGGCATATGTTAGTCAGAATGGTTCCAAAGACTAACATTTCGAAAGCCAAAAAGTCTTAGTTTTTGCCTTAAACAAATGTGCAGGAGACATTTTTACCACTGTACGGAATTACGACATTATCAGCATATACCATAAAGTTGGAATAATAATTAGATTTATGTTGAAATGCACTGAATATACAAGTTAATAGTTCATTAGACTCGCAAGTAAAGTGGTCTTTAAATGGTGCGAGCTGAAAAATAATTAAAACAAGTGAATTAAGTTTAGTGTAGGTCAGTCATACCGAGGTTGATCAAAATTGGTCATTTTGTTAAAGTGGTCTTTAAATGGTGCAAGCTGGAAAATAATTAAAACAAGTTAATTAAATTTAGTGTAGGTCAGTCATGCCGAGGTTGATCAAAATTGGTCATTTTGTGTAAACGGACGGACGGACTCACGTGATAAGAGTACGTTTATTTGAGGTTTTCACGATAGTGAAGACGTCGATGTTGTTATTCAACACTGCAGGTGTAGACAGAACGCCCCTCTATGTCGATGTTGTTATTCAGCACTGCAGGTGTAGACAGAACGCCCCTCCGAACCGTTAATATCTACGTAGCGCAAGTCCACGCCGTGTCAGAACTGAAAACAACAAAATCTGTAATTAATGGTTTTCGAATTTGTTTCAAATCTGAGATTTCACTTGTGAAACTGTTTCATTCTTTCAAAGTAATGTTTGACGGGGAGACAAAATTTTCGTGTGTTTTTCTTTTCTCCATCTGTGTTCATTGTACGTTGCATTGTTTTCAGTCCCGAACTAAGTTGGTAACCTTGTAGTTCGGGACAATCAATTTCCCAGGTTCTCCGAAATGTTAACAAATTGGCCTACGACAGTAAGATGACATTACATCAGGATGGCAGGAACATTAGCTACAAAGCCTGAGACCTTTAATAAGATACAGTACTGAACATATTCAAATTAAACGTCTCAAAATAGGCCCTTCATTTTGTGGCTGTAAAGAATGCCTATACGACGTATGACATCTTGTTATACCTACTTCTGGACCTGTTTCAAAGTTAACAGGGCACAGTGGGAATATGATACTTAGAAACATGACAAAGGATTCTTTTGCGCTAACGAGGTTCAAACTGACAGTGCTATGGAAAACCTTTCACAAATGTTTACGAAATTTTTTTTTCTGGATTATTGTAGTAGTAAAATATATGCGTTTATAATTATGTAGCAAGTTTTCTCTCTGCATTGTTGAGTTGCAATCAATATTTTCTGCAAGTATAATTCCTTCGTCTCGTTAAAGTTTTCTGAAGAGTCGTAGAAAATGTTAACAAAAATCCTGAGTAAAGGATTGTGTGATCTAGATTCGACTGAATGAGAATAATAGGTTCGAATGTCGAATCGCTGTGAACACGGTAATAAATTTTAATATCTTACAAAAGTTGGAAAATATCTTGGCCAGCTGTGCGACTAACTACTTCTTAAGATGGACGGATTTAAATGTAACTGATGAATTTGCCTTCATTTTATTTTATCATAAATTGTTCCTTAGAGACCTTTTGATACGTGGTCTGGCAGAGAACACATGGAAGTACAATTATGATGCCTAATGCGCCAATTTAACTACCATTCTTATTGTTAAGTTAAATTTTACCATGTCGGTCAAACATTCTATTCAAACTTCTCACAAGGAAGTATGTAAGTCTGAAGTATAATCATAGTTTTGTTGATACTGTGTTGTCTGAAGATATAAATTTATTAACAAAATTGTTATATTTATTTATGTGTATTCATTAAATAAATTTTAAAGAACTGAGGTTCTTATGGTAGTGAAGATGTTGACAGTGTTTTTCTCTGAAACGTTCTTATCTACCTACAAGTCTACATGGCGTTAAAACACGGAAGATCAAATTTAAAATGTAAAGATTCTTTATTAATAATGTAATTTCAATGCGTGTCATACGTTTGCACGGCGGCAAACTTCCAATAATCAATTTTAGGGAAATAAGACAGAAATATGAAGCACATTTCAATTCCGCTTTGTGCATACCAAATATCACCAAAAAAAAAAACAATTACGTTCAGTCCTTCCCCTCATAAAAGACGGAAAGTAGGTTAAAAGCGACTTCCTAATTAAACATGTTATTTAATATGCACCGGTACGTAGAAATATTACATTTCCTTTGCAGTTGTTTAGTTTCTCATTAAGTTTCCGTAGTAATATTTGTTTGTTATATGTCATACTTCTAGAATTTCTAGCAGCGTTTTCAGCTTTCAGAATTTGGATCATGTTGCACGTATAACGCAATAAGAATGTAACTCAAATTGGTTTAAACAATCGATTGACAACCAGATAGCAGGTGTTCACAGACTCGGATCTATTATTGGCCAATTTGTACGCGCTGATTGCTGGGTTCACAGGCTGATTACCACAGCCTGTGAACGATGCAGCACCAAGGACCTCTGAAACGTTGGTAAACTTCTACCAGAATACAGAGCGCTACAACCCAGAAGACAGCCATCTTCATTTGTATGGTAATTTTTATATGCCTATGCCTATGAACAGGTCCCAGTCCGAGAAAAGGATGGAAGGATCCTGTTCATATGGACCTGTCGTCAGACAGAACACTAAATAATAATAAGATGAGGTGGTCTAGCGGTTAGAACGCTGGCCTTGTAAGCCTGGGGTCTCGGGTTCGAATTTATAACTTGTGTTGGGCAAGACCGTGGTCTAGGCAACACGGAGTTTTCCTCCGTGCCATCCCAACAATTACTCCATTCACACACAGAAGAAGGCAATGGCAAACCACTGCTGGATCATCTGCCAAGAACGTATATGAACAGGTCCCAGGCCGAGAAAAGGATGGAAGGATCATGTTCATATGGACCTTCGTCAGACAGAACACTAAATAATAAAAATAAATGTCGCGCTGACAATTTTATTAGGAAGAATCTTTTAAATGTTGCAGTCTTACAGTGTTTAACATGTAATCACGTGTAGATGGCAGAACATCTCAGCGGACGTAATCGAAAGTTTCGGGCATGACGTCACATGTGACGAATTTATGTCTCCGAGATAATATCATGTGATTATAATCGACTGCTCAGAACCTATTTTTGTCCAATCGTTGAAGAATCTCACTTCGCTTGTAACTGTATTTACCAATTCAATATTTAATAGGTCCTTTGTCTCTGCGTGTTTAATTCGTCTTTCAGTCTTTCTCTTGAATCAAGTACGTTCTCCTCAGTTAAATCCTTCAATGTTCTTTTTATTACTTTCTCCCTCACTTGTTTTCATTCAATTTTGTTTTTATTTTGCTCAAACACAAAATCGATAAGATGATGCATACTGAGTTACTGAATATTTTATTTACGACTAAATCAAAACTTAGCGAAGATGGCACGTGGATTGTATTCATGTGGCTTGGACGTGATTTACTTATGGGCTGTTGTAAACACGGCAGTGAACACTCTGATTACTGCCTCTGCCCGGAATTCCATCCCTGGTTTCCTGCACTGCATAACGTGGTTAGTATAATAGCTGAAAATCCCCTACAGCTACCAGCTTAAGCTGGTTGGAATAATTGTTCATTTGTGCCAGTGTTTCCAGAAAGCGACATGTGCGTTACTATGACACTTAAATTACCACATTGAAACATGATAGAACTGTGAATGTGTTTCCAAAACAGAAACTTCATCCTCTTCAATTTGATCGTGATGAAACGGGTGGAAATTCAAAAATTGTGTAGTTCTGCTTTCAGCTCTTTGTGTTAATTTCATTAGCCAAATGGATTGAAATATTTCCACTAACGTCTGGCCGAGACGTGGGTGTTTTGTTATCTTCACTGTGCGCCGTTTTCTCGCGGTGTGTCAAGTGAGCGCATGATGTGGAAGTCACGTTCATTCACTGCAATTTACATTTGCATTACGAACAAAAATTTATTTATGCAGTTTTAGGGAATAATTGTTGTTTGTTCAGAAAATCATCCATAAGTACATTTAATGGGCGAGATGCAGATTTTTTATTATTATTAGTGTTCTGTCTGACAACAGGTCCATATGAACAGGATCCTTCCATCCTTTTCTCGGACTGGGACCTGTTTATATACGTTCTTGGCAGATGATCCAGAAGTGGTTTGCCATTGCCTTCTTCTGTGTGTGAATGGAGTAATTGTTGGGATGCCACGGAGAAACCGGGGAAGCCCCCGGAGGCAAACTCCGGGTTGCCTAGACCACGGCCTTGCCCAACAAAAGTTATAAATTCGGGCACCGCCGGGAATCGAACCCGAGACCCCAGGATTACATGTTAAATCAGGTTATTGCATTTTGTTACCCCCTGTCTTTAAAGAATTTATGTTCTGGGTGTCTCTTTGTCCAGAATTTTGGGAGGACCATTTTCAATGCCGTTATCCAAATAGTTCGCCCACACCTAACAACAGGCTGTACAAGGACGAGTGTGACGTCACAAAGCGACTACACAGGGAGAACACCGCCTTCGAGGGACAACTTCAATTCGTCAGTGACGCTGTGATGACCTTTGCACATGCATTCAAGTACAGTAGCACCTAACTACCCACTGTTTTTGAATTGTATGAACTGAGTCTGTGGATCAAAGACAAGCTGAGAGACAGTCAGCTTCTCAAGAAAATCCCTAATTTTTATGGAAGCCTAAGGTTCGTTATTACATTCAGAATAGCCTGCCACTGGCACTCTGTCCTGACCCAGTTGTACCTAATCCTGTTTATTTACGATCCATTTTAATATTATCCACACATTTATGTTTTGATCTTCCAAGTGGTCTGTGCCTTTCCTCCACGCCTCCCCTAAGAATGATACATGCCCGTCTTGTCTCATTCTCTACAATTTTATCATCCGTGATTTTATTCTTACGGTCAGATTCATGTTTTAGAATAGCGGAAAATTTCTGTGAAATTTTAGTATGTACTGTTGATTGTAGTGGATGTTCCCCCCATATGCAAGTAGTAGGAAATGAAGGTGGCAGGCTCCTCTGAACATGATAATGAACGTTCAGGTTTGATACTTTAACCAGCTGAGTGACTGTTAGCTTCTCAGACTTCGTGGACTTCATTAGTTCAGTATGAATCTTGATTATTCGATTGCTTGAAAAGCTTCCAAAAACTAAGAATTTCAAATTGAAGTTTTCACTTGTTTTATTTAATTATTTGAGTCTTGAAGCTCCTGTTATTATTTCAGGGACATGCACAGGGAGTTGTGCAACGGACGCCCTGGGCTCTGCGATGCGATGAAGCCCACCAAAGGCACAGAACTGCTCAAGTATTTGCGCAAAGTGAATTTTAAGGGTTTGAGTGGAGACATGTTCCAGTTTGATCCGAACGGTGACGGTCCAGCTCGCTACAACATCATCCACTTCAAGCAGACGAGTCCCGGCAAGTTCCAGTGGATCAAAGTCGGAGAATACTTGGGGGATTCGCTGCATCTTAACATGTCTGGTAAGACACGTGCAGGGTGGAACGTACAAGAGGACGTTTGCAGCTGGTTTGGAGACAAATTCAGAATGATGTTCCTGTTTCAGTCACCACCACTTAAGCTGAAAAATAATTGTTACATACATACATGCCCCCCCCTTTTTTTTTGTCTTTAAGTGTTAAGAGGGGGGGGGGGTCACAGTGGCTGCCCGGTTTGAGGCATGGGCCCTGTGCCGCTGGGTCACTGGGCCCTTGCGCTCTCTGGCCATCTTCTCCCAGATCCTTTTTTGTACTGAAATTCACTATCATCTGCATGTACCCGGAGACTCGGCATAATATAATATTGATCAAGGTTGCACCCCATGCATGTCACTCGACCAAGAAGTTGCATAAGTCACAAATTTTATGTTCATTGCTGGTTCAGAGACGCGCATCCCTCTTAATTCAGGTTATGACCATTTTTGAAGGTCAATTTTTTTTTTAAGGACGCGTTCTGACTGTGGTCGTACGGCTGACAGCGGTTACCGTGGCCTGCAAGTTAAGTATTTGTGTTTGCTTGCAGAAATACAGTTTAAACTCGGTCACCCTCAGCCTCCCGAATCAGTGTGCAGTCTGCCGTGCGATGTGGGACAAGCCAAGAAGTATGTCGAGGGCGAAAGCTGTTGCTGGCATTGCTTTAACTGCACCCAATACCAGGTTAGATAATACAGTCCTTGTGTCTAAGTTCCATCCCGTGATAAGAGTATTAGTCAAGTTTTTTTTTATTTACGTATTTTAATAATAAAATTATTAATTCCAAAAATATTTTGCTTTGTTCTGGGTTGAGGCTGAATGAGTGAGACTTTAAAAAAAATAACTTTATTAAGATGGAGTGTTAAAAGGAATATAATTTATATTTGTGTCATTATTATCAGCTTTGTGCGCGCATGCGTGAAGACGCATTTTATTGTAGTTGCAATAATTTCTCCAGATCAGACATCCTCTTGACGAGAAGCAGTGTCTGATGTGCCGCGAAGGAACGGTACCAGACCCGTCGCACGTGACGTGTCAGGAAATCCCCGAGGTCTTCCTCAGGCCAGAGAGCGGCTGTGCTATTGGTGCCATGTCGCTGTCATCTACTGGCATCCTGATCACGCTGTTTGTATGTGGCGTGTTTATACGTCACAACAGCACGCCCGTGGTGCGCGCGTCAGGACGCGAGCTTAGTTACGTCCTCCTAACTGGCATACTCCTCTGCTACTGTGTCACTTTTGCTCTCGTTCTGCGTCCGACTGATGCGGTCTGTGGGATACAGAGGTATGTGATAGAGTGGTTAGCACTCCTCGTTTTAATTTACGAGATCCCATAAATTTAAATTACGAATTATAAAACAAAAAAATATCACGTGCTGTACGTTAGGTCTGTGATTAAAACGTAAGAAACTTTTTGAAATATTTTGATATAATATTTTCTTATAAAAGAGTAAAATTATACTAAGTAAATAGATAAGCAAAACGAAGCAAATCTGTATCAGCCCCATAATTATATTTCTTTTATAATTCATAATTTAAATATTGATGAAAACCTAAAGTATCGCCTGATATCGAATTATACAGAGGATTTTTCTATTAGCCCCTGAATCCAGACTGATTTTGGGGTCTACCAATGGGTACTGGGGTCCTTTCCCAGGGGTAAGACGTGGCCAGGGCGTGATCCGGACCACTCACCCCCCCATCTAGTGCTGAGAACCTGATATTTCATATCTTGCCCAAAATTATTTTGTTATTTTCTAGATTTGGAGCAGGATTCTGCTTTACTGTTGTGTACGCCGCGCTATTAACTAAGACAAATCGGATATCCAGAATCTTCAACGCAGGCAAGAGGACAGCCAAGAGGCCCAGTTTCATATCTCCTCGTTCACAGTTATTCATTTGCAGCGGACTCGTGGGTGTTCAGGTACACTGATTTGGAATGATCTATTTTTAAATCTGTACCTTAGACATAAGAGTTGTTGTTAAAGTTTTTATGGAACTGCCATTCTATATCGTTATTCAAAATTACAGTTGAGAATGGCTTCATGCTCTCAAAATTTTTGAGTTTATTGATGTGAGTTACTATATACAACAAAATTAACCTAATAATAAGCATTATATCATAGTGATTATTAATTTATCACGAAGATCAGATTTAAAACTATTAATTTTATAAAAAAAAATGTCATTATACAAAAAAGTTACCGTGTGACACAAAACATGGATATCATTAAGATTTATGACTTAAATATGTGAAATATTCCTTAATGTAGTGAATATTTAGTAAAATACAAGGAAAGAAATATCACGACTGTAGTTTCGAATCCGTATAGCGTCCAGCTTTGAAATAATAGATGATTATATACAGAAGTGCAAAGAAAACATTCTGAAAATATTATTCCGCGTGTTACGTATTTCAGGTACTCATAAATGGTGTGTGGATTCTAGTCTCCCCACCAAGAGCAGTGCACCACTACCCCACCAGGGAAGATAATCATCTCGTTTGCTCTTCTCATATCGACGCCTCGTACATGATAGCATTTGGCTATCCTATTCTGCTCATCGTTGTGTGTACCATATACGCTGTTCTCACACGCAAGATCCCTGAAGCGTTTAATGAATCCAAACACATAGGTACGTGCGTATTTGATCAGTTTATGTTAACTAACTAACTAACTAGATGGCTTGCCGAATCCCAAGGTTCATCACCGAATCAACCAAAGCCCTCCACCAGACCCTGTCCTGGGCCAACAAAATCCAGTTTCCTCCAACTCCTATCTCCCGTAGATCCCGCCTGACATTATCCTCCCATCTACGTCTAGGTCTCCCCAGCGGTCTCTTCCCCTCAGGCTTCCCAAATAGTGGACCCAACCAACCAGATGGCTTACGGAACCCGAAGGTTCATCACCGAATTAACCAAAGCCCCCCCCCGGACCCTGTCCTGGGCCAACAAAATCCAGTCTCCTTCAACTCCTATCTCCCATAGATCCCGCCTCAGATTATCCTCCCATCTACGTCTAGGTCTCCCCAGAGGTCTCTTCCCCTCAGGCTTCCCAAATAGTGGACCCAACCAACCAGATGGCTTACGGAACCCGAAGGTTCATCACCGAATTAACCAAAGCCCTCCACCGGACCCTGCCCTGGGCCAACAAAATCCAGTCTCCTTCAACTCCCATCTCCCATAGATCCCGCCTGAGATGATCCTCCCATCTACGTCTAGGTCTCCCCAGAGGTCTCTTCCCCTCAGGATTCCCAA